TCTCCTGTGATCACTATGTCATCCACATACACAATTAAAGCTGCAATTTTCCCTTCACCCTTCTTCACAAATAGTGTGTGATTTGACTGGCATTATTTGAACCCCATCTGTTGAACTGCTAAGTGGAACTTACTAAACCAGGCCCGAGGAGATTGTTTTAGCCCATATAAAGATTTTTTTAACTTGCACACTTTCTGTTCACTGTTTTTAGCACAAAAACCTAGAGGTTGGGTCATGTACACTTTCTCTTCTAAGTCACCATTCAATAAAGCATTTTTTATGTCCAATTGGTGAAGTTCTCAGTCAAGATTTGCCGCCAGTGAAAGGAGAATTCTGATAGAGTTCATCTTAGCTACTGGGGGCAAAAGTCTCTGCATAGTCCACTCCATATACTTGTGTAAAACCTTTTGCCACCAGTCTGGCCTTGTACCTTTCAACAGTTCCATCAGCCTTGTGTTTCACTATGAACACCCACTTGCACCCCATTGGTTCCTTCCCTTCAGGAAGATCCACCAACTCCCAAGTGTCATTTTTGTGTAATGCATCAATATCTTCCTTCATTGCATTTGTCCATTCAGGTTTGGATAAAGCTTCTGTCACATTCTTATGAACAGGGATACTGTCAACAGAAGAGATGAATGCACGATATGAAGATGAAATATGATCATAGGACACAAAGTGAGAGATAGAATGGTTAGTAGTACAAGATCTAACACCCTTTCTTTGAGCAATAGGAACATCAAGATCATTAATGACAGGGGAATCAACATTAAGAGGAGAAGGCATATCAATAGAAGCAAGTGTACCTGACTGATGGGAAGGATCAACCTCTGGTGAAGCCGATGATGTTGGTTGCATAGTGTCAGGTTCCACGGCTCTTGAACTCTACTGGCTTTTGTGGCAGTGAAGAAAGACACGGAATGGAGGAGGGTCAGGTAGAGGAGGTAGTTGAGTCTGAGTCTGTTTCTCCTCAACCTTACTCTCCCCCTAAGGAGAAACCGAGAAGAAAAGTTTATTCTCAAAGAAGGACACGTCTATTGAGACATAGTACTTACGAAAGACGGGATCATAGCAACAATACCCCTTTTGAGATAGAGGGTAACCAAGGAAGACACAAGGAATAACATGAGGATCAAGTCTACCCCGAGTAGGTGACAAGTTATGAACAAAGAAACAACACCAAAAAACACACATTGGAATGGGGAACAACGGAGCTGTAGGAAACAAAAGCTGATGCGAGCCTTATACTCTAGTAACCGAGAAGGCATACGGTTGATGATGTACGTAGCACACAGAACAACATCCATCCAAAAACATTTTGGGACATTCATATGGATTAACAAGCCACGAGCTACTTCAAGAAGATGACGGTTTTTTCTTTCAACAACACCGTTTTGTTGAGGTGTCCTAGCACAAGAGCTTCGTTGAAGTGATCCACTCGAAGCAAAGAATTCCATGAGATCACTATGGAAAGTATGGATTTCAGTTTGGAACTGAGTGAACACCATGCGTTGAAAGTCTTTCACAATTTTAGGCACTTCCTCTCTAGATCGCATAGGGTAAACCCAAGTGTATCTAGAGTAATCATCGATCAAGGTAATGAAGTACTTATATCCAGTCTCAGTAGATAGAGTAACAGGGCCCTAAACATCAGAATAAACAATATGAAATGGAAATTCAGATATTTTATTTCTCAAAGGAAAAATGCTTCTACAATGTTTACTCAATTGACATATCTGACACTGCAACTGACTCACTGACAAAGACGCAAACAACTTTGGAAACATAACTTTTAACAACTCAAAAGAAAGATGACCAAGATGACTGTGCCATAAATAGGCTTGACTCTCATTGGACGAACTCAAGGACTTTGTAGCCACAAGACCAGCTTCATTCTCCAACACGTAGAGGCCATCCACCATGCTTCCTATACCAATTGTCTTCCCCGAGGCCAAATCCTAAAACACACATGAAGACAAATAGTAAGTAACTGAATAGTTCAAGGAGTGAGTAATACTACTAATGGAAAGCAGATTTATAGGTAATTTAGGAACATGTAGTACATTAGAAAGGGTAAGGCTGAGTGGGAGAGATATGGTTCCTTGGCCGGCTATGGTGGAGAAAGAACCATCAGCTAGTCTCACCTTATCTCTCCCAGAGAGAAGATTGTATGCCTGCAATAAATTTGACTCACCGGTCATGTGGTTTGAGGCTCCAGAGTCAATTACCCAAGGGGAATCAGAGGTATGAGATGACACATGGAAGGCAGTGGCAGTGTTACCTGAAGCAAATGCAAAAGAGGTAGGAGTAGGACCAGTATCCATCTGGCAAAGAGTCCTACCATATAACTCCAAATGGTCACGGAAGGAGTTGATGATCTCTTCCTTAGGGTCAGAACTGGGATGCCTTTCCTGAGTTACCATGGGACCATTCTCTTGAGATGCCATATTAGCTGAGTTATACCTTTTCTGATTCTGCTGACTTGGTTTCTTGCCCTAATCAGTTGTTGACTTCTTACCCAAATCCTATGCCCATTTAGGTTTTCCATGGTGATCCCAGCAGGTATCTCTGGTGTGTCTTGCCTTCTGGAAAAGAGTGCACCAAAGCTTACTCTTATCATCTGTTCTTTTCTGAGAGTCACCCTTCTTAGAACCACCTCCGACATTAGTATCTGAACTTCCCCAAACAGCTAGAGCAACTAGCTCCCCCTTTGTAGAATTCATTACATTTCTTCTACTTTCTTCTGATTGAACCAAGGCATAAACCTCCTGAACTTATGGCAAGTCTTTACTTCACAAGATCTGCACCTTAATGGACTCATATGAAGGATTCAGCCCCAAGAGGAAGGAAAATACCCATTGTTGGGATACAAGTGATTTGTATGCCTTTGCATCCTCATCACGCTTCCAGTTAACATTCTGATAGTGATCAAGTTCTTTCCATATTGATGTCAGATCTGAATAGTACACCGAGAGACTCCTTTCCCCCTGCTTGCAAGTGGACGATTCAGCTTGCAATTGGTATATCTTAGCATAGTGTCTCTGCTCTGAATAGGTGGACTTTGCTTGTTCCCATATTTCACAAGCAGTTTCAGCCCACATAAAAGTTTTTCTCACCTGTGGCAGCATGGAAACCAAGAGCCATGGCATCACCATACTATTTTCTTGGTTCCATCTATCATATTCAGCACTTCCGCTCTTCGGTTCCTTCATTTTCCCATTGATGTATCATATTTTTCCCCTAGCAGTAATGTAGAGTTTTATTCCCCTAGACCATTCAAGGTAATTCAGACCATCAAAGGGAATAACAGCCATGGGGAAACTCATATCCATTCCCCCACTTACCCCATTTTGATTTCCATAAATCCCTGAAATAGCAGAATTCTCAGAAGACATGGTCAACACAGAATTTTTTTATCAAAAGACTTCAACTTAGGATCCCTCCTTATATCAGAACAAAAAGCTCCACACACAACAAGTGATTAGTCCACCCACACTGCAGTTTTTGGACTTAATCTGAGTACAAGACCAGCACCAATTTCCAGAAAAAACAAGATGACAGATCTGATTTTCAGACCTGTACGGAGTAGCCGTCCCGGCCTACAAGTTTTCTCAGAAGGTCTACAAGCAATAATCACAAGGGGAGATCCTTACACACAAGGCATCAAGCCAACAAGTAGAGAAAACAGGTCATACGTGACCTACAGCAACGTTTCACAGGTACAAGATCACACAACCCAAAACAGAGGAAAAACCTCACAAGGGTGTGCCGACCATTCAGTGGTTCAGGTCCATTCATTTTCCTCTTGGTACACGACCAAGGGTAGATAAGAAAAGAAAAAAAAATGGGGCAGTACCAGTTGCAGGTCTGATTTGATCAACCCAGATGTATTCCTCTGTTCTGCCCAGATTCAGCAGCTTGGAGAAGACATTTGATCGCCCAAATTCAATGGCCACACTCTGATACCATCTTGACAGTAAATCTGACTGAAAATTACAGCAAAAGAGAAGAGAAGAGAAGAGGAGAGAAGAGAAGAGAAGGAAGAAAGAAGAAGAAGGATTGAGGCAATGGAACAGTGCTGGTGGCGCCAGCTTCATTATAATATATAGGGCGAAAAAATAAGAAGGGAAATGACCCTTGTGCCCCTACTAAGTGATGGTACAATAATAGATTAAAATAAAAAAGGCTTTAATCAGCCAAACAGACCCTAGAAAACATAAAATCAATTATTTCAACAGAAACAACCTAAATAAAACCTAAGAAGACCAGAGACTCGATCTTTCTAGGGAGGGTGCAGACATCTACCATCCAGTGCCTTTACTTGATCCATCTACAGTAAGCCTAGCAACCACCCAGAAGGTGCAGCCAAATCAGAATAAAACTATTAACACCTCTTTTGGCTAACTCATGAACTACCCAGGGTTCTGCCCCATCCAAATACCCCTCCTTCCCCCTTTCTTTCGCTTACGTCTACAGTCTACCAGCAAAAGATACCACAGAGGCACAGACCTAACAGCAGCCACCAGATGGTCTTAGAATGGATCTTGTACCGCAATGATCAGGATCATGAATGATAACATGAAAGGGAAAAAACATCTACATTGAACCTTTCTTTCTTAGTCGTGATGGCATGAATAGCTTGTGTTTAGATTAGATTAGTTGGATTTTGACTTGGTGACATACCTCAGAATTGGAATTGTCAATCATGTGTATCTCCGGATTCTGTAGTAGTGGGTTTTATCCACAACTTCAGGAGGTTAGCAAAATGGGGATTTTTAGCCTTCCTATTGGAAGTTCTTAACGAAATGAGAAGTAGAGGGGGATAGTAACTTGAAATTTCTGGAACTGAAACCAAGGAAGCAATGGAATTTCAATTCAATTTTGCTCCCATGATCCAAAAGCAGCTTTACTATTTCTACTGACGACAAAGTTCTTATTTCAGTCAACTGTCAGTATGCCATTCATAACAAGGGTTCTTTGGAGAACACGTGCAAAGATCATAACAAAGGTTCTTTTGGCAGTGTGAATTTCGTTGGAGCCTCATGAAGCAAATATTTGTCTTTACTTTTATGTGCATAACTAACAATAAATACCACCACAATTGTTTTCTGGGGTCATGGAGAAAATAACAACTAGGCAACAGTGATGAACAGATGTTCCATTGAAAGAAGAACCAGTAAAACAGAGGGAGTCACTTGATGATTACCAGAACCACTCGTGTCTTGCATCCACCACCTTTGCATTGGTCGATACCAGAGGCATGGTCCCATAGAGGGAAATAAAATCATTGAGGCATTTGTTCCTCCTATTGCTATGTCCCTTCAGACTGCTGATGCCTGATGATCAGATTTCATATATCTTCCCTGTGAGTGTAAAGACCATGTTCATTAGAAAAAACAAGTTTAACTGTAGGTTCTTATCATGGAACTAAAATAATCAAGTCCTCCTGAAGTAAGAGAATATAAGTCAATTGACCCAATCAGCTACAAGGTTTATCATATAATAACCCAATAAAAAAAGAGCAAAAGTTTAAGAGCAAATTTGAAAAACAAAAACTGAAACTTGGAAAACTAGTACAAGATCCAAAGTTTCTTCAAACCAATAATAAACAGACCTTGCCATTTTGTTTACATTTGATTAGGAACTTTTAAATCATTTCACAAATTTTCAGAAATATCTAGAATCATTGGTGATGGTCTGCCAAAGAAACGCTTTGAAAGTGCTAGATCATGATATTTGAAAGAAGATTACTTTCTTTTTGGTCAAATATAATAACTCTCATTGTTTAAATGATCCCAATGAATGAAGGATTTTAGTTTATGTAGATTACCAATATATATTCCAATAGAACTATCCAAAAGATGCAACAAAACTAAAATAAAATACTTCAAAAACCAAGATATTGAATATCTTATGCGATTCTGCCTGCTCATGTTAAATACTGCCAACTAATGCCATCACAAAGGGGAGGGTAGTGCAAAAGATGATTGGGCTTGATGAAATGCACAGTGATTTTATTTTGTAGAACATTCATCATGTATGGAAAAAATATAGACAACCCTGTCAGATATAGAAAGGATGAATTTGGTCATGTCTCCTTAGGCACTAAAATAGTAGAAATTACCTCTAACCCATATTGGAGGAGCACCAGTGGCATTGGCAACAAGTAGAGACATTGCAATGTCTACACAGTTTCTGTAAGGAAATTGAAGAGAAGAAAACACGGATTTAGAGACAATCTGTCTCAGTCACAAAAATGAACACTAAGACATGTGGATGTGCCAACATATAATACCTCCTCAGAAGAAAGTTTAACATACCTTTCTCTGGTTACATAATCGTGTATTGATAAGGGCATCTTGAAGGTGTACAAATCCAAGTACTTCCTGTGAAAAAATGCTGCTTTTGAGAGGACCATGCTGTAAGTACCCATCCACCAAACGGACCACCAACCTCCATATTTGTAATATGCAACACCATCCTTCTGTATTGGATGAAGAAACTATTCAGACAACATATGCATGTATTTATTTTGAAGCAACAATGTACAACCTTTGAGTTGCATGTAGACCCAAGTTGACATACAGACAAACTAGAATGCCTGATACAAGCAAATCCTAGTAATTAAAAGCAAATATTAGAGGGTAAAGAAAATTACTCACCCCTACATCCAGCCAATGCATGCGGGGAACAAATCCAACCATGGTGGATGGAGAACTTTGCCATACAGTGAACGCAAAATTCAGGGTATAACATGGAACAATCACATCATCATCAACAGAAAAGATTGCATCTGTCCTGAGGTCCTCAATTGGCTTAAATCTATTATTCAGATTATCCTCCTCATTTAGATCAAACCTGAAGTTAGGCTTGTGTGCAGTTTGTGATTTTGAAAATACAATATCCCTAAGATAATCTATCAAGCTGTTTGATGGTGGATCACTCTCACTCCACACATGTATTGCATCAGCTCCACTACAAGATGCATAGTGGGCCACAGCTTGCCTAAGAAGAGAGTTACGCTTCCATGTGTTAATCAGCACTGTATACCCACCCCTGCTAGAGACACAAAATCACAAATTCTATCAAAGCAGTGGATGAGCATGTATAAAACAATAATTAATAAAGGAAATCAATAAACAAGGACAAGCAGATGAAATTGGTCCATAGCAGAAAGTCTAACAAAATGTATTATGTGGAAAAACAAACCATGAATTATGCAATAGATAAATAAAAGATAAGATGTATTCTCTCTCTAAGCTGGAAGAACCGAAAACATAGTAACTTTTACATGAACAATTTGCACAAGTTCAGTTACAATTGGTTTGAATAACGCAATCCTAACTGGATGAAAGCTCAGTTACAAATGGGCATAGGGTTAATGGTTGGGAGCTGCTTAGATTAGGTAGGCAATTCAACTATATTTGCATATGCAATGTCTCAGGAAGGGATTCTCCTTGTTTTGTGTGGCCCATTTTTCTCTTTCCAACCAAAAAGAAAAAGAAAATGGAGTTTAACCAGTCTTACAAAAAGAGTACTTGTCCATTCTTATCCACAGCTTTGTCACCTTTGGACATTTTTTTTTTTTTGATGAATGAAAGTAGTTTTATTAAATCATATATCAATAGTACAATCATCCTAGGAGGAGGCACGAGATGTTACCCCCCCTAGGACTGAACCATATACACCAAAACTACCCAGGCCTGAGAAACAATTACAAAGTAGCCCAAAATATATCTCCCCTTGACACCCCTTGCCTGGCCAAAGAATCAGCCATTGCATTTGCTGATCTTCTGACCCACTGAAACCTGACAGTCATATTCCTTGTCATCCATTTAACTTTCTTTAACAGATCCCTGTAGCCCCAACAGGCTGTTTCTGGGCTAATTAGCCAGCATACTACTACCTTGGAATCCCCTTCTACTAGCAGATTGGTCACTCCAATTTGACTAGCCATCTGTATACCTTGTACCGCTGCTAGTAGCTCTGCCCTTACTGAATCGCCTTCACCCACTGGTCCTGAAAAAAGAGACAACATATTGCTGTCTTTGTCTCTCAGAATCCCACCTATTCCCGATTGCCCTAGATTACCTTGGCAGCTACCATCAAAATTCAATTTTACCACACCATCCGAGGGAGGGGGGGAATCCATTCAGCTTGTGATTTGATCTTGGTGGAGACTGCAGCAGCCACTGCAGCCCAATTTCTCCTTAAGTCATCAAAGGAGTAATCTGCCAACAAGTGTGAAGATTTTAACCATGAGATAGTCCTTGTCAATATGCATTCCTTGATTTCAGCAAGACTTCTTCCCTGTTCTTGAAATATTCTTGCATTTCTCTCCTCCCATACAGTTCACAACGTAGTGGCTCTAATACATTTCCACATTAGCTTCCCTCTTTTTGTCAATCTCCCTAAGGCAGCCGGAGTGAACAACAGCTTTACTTCAGAGGGCAAATTCCACCTGCACCCAAATAAAGAAGCAACCCAGTTCCAAATATTGGTAGCGAAAGAGCATGATATCACCAAATGGTTACAGTCCTCACCCCTCACTTTACACAAAGAGCACCAATTAGGACAAGCACATAAAAGGTTTCTTCTTTTGCAAGTTTTCCACAGTATTGATCTTACCATAATAGGCTTCCCAACAGAACACAGCTATTTTGGGGGAATTGGTCTTGACCATACCTCTTTAACGGGAAAGACCTGAGAGGAGGGGTTGGAGCAAAGGGCTTTAAAGAAAGAAGCACAAGTGACCTTTTGACATTTTGTATACAATATTTTTTGCTTATCATGGAAAAAGATAGAATCTTGCTTCTCTTCTTTAACAAAAACTTGGGGTTCTACCACTCCTAGAATAAGGCAAGAATGGAGTATTACCAAATTAAAATGAGGTCATACCATTACGGTACAACATATGCTTGAGATAAACTTCTTCTATTAGGTCAAAGATGTTTTAAATAACAGGCACCTTAGAAATTCAGAAGGATTCAACTTCCTATGAGAAGGGGGGAGGAGAGGGAAATTTATGGTCACTAGAGGAAGAGGTAGTAATATAGGATGGGATAGGGTTCCTACTCATTTAGGTTTTGGTGGTGGGCTTTGTGGGGTGAATGAGGGGCTGTGATTGATTAGAGATGAAGGATATGAATGGAAAACCAAGGAGAATACTTGCTGTCCACCAAAGAACGTACAAGAACTTAGGAAAAGATAGGAGAACTCTTGCTGTTAGGGTGAACAGCAAAGAGATTGATCACTTAGAAGAAGAAATAAGAGAGAGAGTGGGAAAAAAAGAGAGAAAAACTTCTAGAAACAACCAAGATTCACTAAACCAAGCTTTATTTCTTCAAATAAACTCTCCTTCAACTCCCATTATAATGACTCTTTTTATAGACTCAACTTATTAACTCACATGTCCCTTTACAGACTCCGATTAATTAGGACTAGGAAACTGACCAGAAACAACTTCTAATTTCTTTAAAACTAAGACGAACCCATAAGTAATCCATTAGGACACTTAAATAAGGGCTCCAACTCATAAACAACCTTAATAGCACTTTTCTAATCCTACTAAAACTAACTTAATTTAATGTGCAAAAGTTACCATAAATAGTAATCTCAAAGCAGTAATGAAAATGAAAAAACGGAACCCTATTCTGAAGATCCACAACTAGAAAATGAATAAAAAAGCTGAAACAATACCAATCTCCTATAACCCAAAAAATTCTGAAATTGGTATAGGATTTGAAAATTTGACTAACTCTCCATTGATTCTTTTGTTGCTTCCACTTCTGAATCAGGTAGACAGCATCAAGAGCGAAAATCTTCTCTTGTAACCTGGGTTTGTTGGGTAAATCCATAGGGGTTCCTAGAAATAGGTTGTGCTGGGGCCATGGTGGTGCTTGCAGTTCATAAGTACATGCCATAACTCGTTCTTTTGTTATGGGTTTGGCAGGTTCAGGGTTTTTGATTGCTATTGTGGCATTTTTATTGGATCTTAGATGCCTTGTATATTTGAGGCCAATTTTTGGGGGGTCAGGTGGTTTGGAGGTTTTTTTTTTTTTTGCTCTATTATCTAGTGTGTATGCTTCTTGTATACATCTTTCCTTTTTCCTTTCTAGCATTTTTTTTCAGTTTCTAACATCATTGGCTAAACTAATCACCCAGAAATAGAAAGTATTTCTCCAGTTTTGACTCAATAGAAAGACCAAAAGAATTTCTAATCTCTAGCAATAAGTAACTCAAACAAACATGTGAAACCACCTCCAAATAAGAAATAAAAACTACATCTACTTCACTTTTTGGGTCTCAGGAGGAAGGGTGGGTGCATGTTCTCTATTCAAATAAAGTAGGAAACATCCCCACCCCAAAAAAGGGAAGGTTAGGGATTCCTTTGAAGAGCCTCCTACAAACTCTCTTTTAATCCGAAAGTAAGAAGGAAAACAAAATCTACTTCACCTATGATGGAAATAAAAATTGGTTGACACTAAAAGATGGACACAAAATAGAATATTTGCAAAATATAAGTTTTCTAAACAACTTATATCTAACTAAAAAAAAGAATATTAGAATTCTCTTTGCTCCAAACCATAACTCTCTTAAACCCTATCCAGATCGAATGATAAGTCTTGTTTGTATATAGATCATTATGCTTTCTAATGAGAACAAAATAAAGGCATTTAGGCATGTTTTAAAATAGAAAAATTGAGACCATCAGTAAAGAAATGGAGTTCAAAAAATGTTCAACATTGGATCCATTTGCCTGGTCCACAAATCCAGTTATACTGTTTTTGTCCTATAGATGCACATCTGCATGTACACACATATTCGGGTAAACTTCCGTATTTGCATACAGTGCTAATTCCTTCCAAACAATAAATATCAGCAAAGAACACTGAAGTTCACTGTGGTGAAGGGAGACATAGAGCATTTCAGGGGGTTAAGAGAAATGCATCTATGTGTACCTCTTGGAGGTTAGACTGAGCAGTGAAGATTGTTCATATTCCAATATTATCTATCAAGACTTGTAATTATTAGGCCTCAATACATAGTAGAGAAATTTTATCTTAAGATAGTATGGGATGCATGGAGTTCCATCCTAGTGGATAACCAAATAATCTGTCCCTTCCTTTTGCAAACTTAACCATTATCCTATTCAATTTATCCTCCTGTATTTATTTTTTCAAGATTTCTAACAAGGAAAAGGGAGAAACATAGAGAACAAATATTCAAAAGACTATGACTCGAAAGCCTACAACTCCCTACTTTGTGAAAGAATATATATATATATATATATATATATATATATATATTGAAATTCCATAATTCCATATAGAAGCCTCTTATGAAAGCCAAACTATGAGGATGACTCCATTCTTCTCATGTATGAAGTAATTCATTCCAATGAGTTGTTTCCATTGGTTTTAGTTGTGTTCTCCACTATTTTTAAGACAAATAAAAACTCAATATGTTCTATTGAAACCCTCCATGGCATGCATTACCTCTCATCTCTTGAAGAATCCGATTTAGTTTAAATAACTGTTCCGTGACAGTTTAAAATGGAAATAGATCAGAAACCTATCTTACATGATACATCATAAGATTTAGCTACTATTTTTTGATAGGTGACTTGTAAATTTTATAAATTTGTAGAAAAAAGGAAGAATGGATATGTACAACATTTGTAGTGGCAAAGCACCCCACATAAGACTTAACTTTTTAATAGTCAACCTAGTAAAGGTAGATAAGTATTTTAACATTGTTGTTTTCTTTATTGATTAAAGAAAACATTGTTATTTGCTTTAGGTGGAATCAGAAATCGCTTCAAATTCTAACAAGAAGGCAACACTTTGCAATTGTAACAAAGCATGAATTTCCTGCTGCTTCAGAAGAAATGCTGAATGAGAGAATTTTGCCTTGTCTGAGATACAAGAAGTAGCTCCTCCTTGAGCATGTTATGGAATTGTCACTGTCTATCTAAATTGTTGCTAGGAGCCACAGTCTATGCACTCTCAAAATACCAACAAAAAATGCCGAACAGGAAAAATGGCACCATCAACAGCCCAATAATAAAGATCTACCTTAAAATCTGAACAACAAACAACCAAGGCTACAGACATGCCACTCTGCACGCCTGCCCATCAGCTAATAGTAAAAAACGGACCATCACAGAAAAAAAAAAAAAAATTGAACTTTTCAACAGAGCTTTCTATTAGCACAAGCACATAAATCGAGATTCACAATTTAATAATAGGGATAAGTACACTGTACTCCGCCTTAATAATAAGCTAAAGCAAGGGAACCAAAACTTCCTCCATCGGAAAAATCAAGCCGACAAAAGAAACCAATTCAAAGCGTAAGCACGACAAAAGAAAAAGGAAACGAAACCAATCCACCAAAGGGGAAAAAGAATAACGGTCGGATGGGAGAAAAAGATGGAGCTTACCGAGAAGGAGAAGAAACGGACGAAGGGTAGTGAGGGTTCCATCCCATGAGAGAACCGATTCTAGAGCTGATAAAAATAACGGCGAAGAAAATGCACAAGGCGAGAAGGAGCTTAACCTTGGCGGCTCCGAGCAACTGCCGGATTCGACGGAGCAGAAGCGGCGAGCGGCTACTGTAGACCCCTCGGGTGGCCGCCTTCTCCTTGGCAGGCGAATATAGGCCGCTATCCCCGGCGGAGATGTTGTCTCTTGCACCGATGATAGCCGCCATGACTCACCTTCATCAAACAGAGGAAATGATCTCAGGGACGTAATTATCAGTCACATTCGCCATTTGATCTAATTGATACTCTAAATTACGCCAAAATATGAATCCCTCCTCGAGTGTCGACCACAAAAAGAAAACAAAAGTATTCTTCAAGCACCGGTTGCAGCACAGAAAGGTGATGGTAGAACTTAGAAGCAGCGGTTGGTGACTTCGGTTGGTGTTATGTTCAACTGTTCATCAGCTCAACTGCTCAAGCGCGGGGTTTGTAAGACATAATTACTGGTAATGCCATCAACATTCTCATAATTACACTTTTGTACTCGGCTACATATTTATCATTCTCTTCCATCATTAATTACCCAGATTCCCGGAAAACATAATTAGGCTTGTATTTTAATATGATTCACAATCGGTGCTTTTATTATAGTCTTTTTTGGTAATAAAAATTAAAAAGGCTTCGACGAAATAAGGGAAAACCGATAACCCAACGTAACAAATTGTCTAAAACTCCGTAACTTTTCAAAAATGTCTAAAATTCACCATGTCACTACCATTAACGGTGTTAATATATTATTATTTTAGTCTTCATAGAAAAATATAATATATATATATATATATATTAATATTTAAACATAAAAAAAGTTAAAAAAATATTTTCAAATATAAAATAATAAAAACAAAAAAATTACAAAAAATAAAAAATTATAGAAATTGAAAATAAAATAAAAATTTATTTTCAAATTATAGAAATTATAGAAATTGAAAAAACAAAATCAAAAAATAAAAATTGTAGAAAAAACATCAAAAATTATAGAAAAACACAGAAATTACAAATAAATAACAAAAAATACAGGAAAATTTATAGATCGTAGAAAATATAAAATATAAAAAAACATTGGAAATTATAACAAAACACTAAAAATGCAAAAAAAAATGAAAACCTAAAAAGACCATTTTTCCTCTAACTCGTCATTCAAGGGTAATTTGGTCATGAAAATTGTTATTTATGTTGATGTGGACACCTCTATTAAGAGGCATTAATAGTAGACATGTTCATGGGTTGGGTAGCCCGATGGGTAGGCCCGGCCTAGCCTTGCTCCTGAACGGGCCTGAGCATGTATTTTAGCCCATGGGCTTGACCTCGAGCCTAAAAGCTTGAGCCTGACTATTTTATGGGCTGGGCTCGGGATTTGTTAAAAAAGCCTACCCCAACCCGACTTTTGTATAAGTTAAACCCTAACCCTAAATATTAATCCCTCTCTTCTCAACCCCTCTCTTATCACTTATCTCTTTTTCTTAGCTGAACAAACTCCCTTCTCAGTCACAGTCTCACATAACCAAACATTCTCAGGAAGATAAAACCGGCACAACCAATGAACTCTAGCGGTGACTAGTGAGTCCTCTCTCTCTCTCTCTCTCTCGTTCCTCTTCTCACTTCTCCTTCTCTCAGCAACTCATTTATCAGATGCAAGTCACACAAACTCAAGCACCAACTCTGAATTCTCTCTCTCTCTCTCTTCATTGTTCAATTGTTCCTCTTCTCATTTCTCCTTCTAACTCTCAGAATCTTAGCTCAATTCATTTTTCAAATGTGAACTCAAGCACCAACAACAAGTCCTTTCTCTTTGCCCTTTTGCTCTATTTCTCTCTTATTGTTTGGTCGGCGGCAAACACAGACACAGACACAGGCACCGACGGCGAACACAGACACAAGCACCGATCTATCTTTTTGTTAGGTCGGGCTTCGGGCTTTTTATTAGGGCCGAGCTCGAGCTTTTTATTAGGGCCAGGCTCGGGCCCAAGTTGTAGGCCCGTTGGTCGGGCCGGGCTCGGGCTCGGACCTAACAAAATCTTGTTTATGAAGAGTAAAAGCCCAACCCGACCCGACCCATGAACAGGTCTAATTAACAGTGCACTAGCGGAAAGCGAGTTTTGGAAAATAAAAACTTATTGACATGGTGAGTTTTAGACATTTTGAAAAGTTGTAGTGAATTTAAGAGAAATGATGAAAACTCATGGTGAGTTTTAGACAATTTCCCAAAAGTTAAATATAAAGTACCTTAACAAAAACTTATCCAATGACAAAATCCTCTATTACCATTAATACATTATTACAATCCGTTATATATATATATATATATATATATATATATATATATATATATTAGTTTCAAAGTTATGCTTTTGTAGTTGATTTTGTCCTTCATTATTCTTTAAATTTTCAAAATAAAATCCAATGACATAATGTTCTTGACATAGGTGCATATGGTAGGGTCCCGGATGGTGCCACATGGCATCAGCTAGAAGAAATCCTGACCGTTCACCTCTAACTACCTTCAACCACTCCATGGCAAGGTCAAGTATAAAAGGGGGTGCCCAGCTTCAAGGTAAGGGATCTTGCCCACTCTTGCTCTCTAGCATTCCTTCTCTCGAGTGACCTCGTCTAAGCCCTCGTCTCAAGCCTGGTCCGACCCCTCTCAAGCACTTGATTAATTTGATCGTCAATCTCCACCCGTGGAATAACACCCGGGGCCTTTGACGTATGCTCTCTCCTTGCTCTCAGGTTGGAGATATCGGCATTAGCCAAAAGTAAAGTTACCTTGTTGCCCTTGACCCCTCCTAGGCAGCAACAATTCTCATAGATGAAATTGGAATTAAAAGTCCCTTACCATCACATGGTGTCTGAAATTTGCATTCCCCCTTTCTTAAAACTGAACAATTTCACGTTCAAAGATTCACATATCTCCCAAGGCCTCAAACTTACAGAAGTAAGTTCTTTCTAATGAATAATGGGGTACAAAGAAGCACAGGCAAGCAAATCAATAGAAGAATTCAGTTGCAGAAATCAAGGAACTCAAAAGATGTTTCTAACTGAAAAAGTCGCATTGCCCACCACATCGATCTATCAAGCCACCGAAGATGATGGTTAAGGGCTTGAATCCTCTCATCACTTTCGAGCACAAGAGGTAATCGAACTTTAACTTCTCTCGTTTTGGGTTTCAAATTCTAGTTTTCTTTGTTTCTAAGGCTCAGTTTAGAAAGAGTACAAGTACAAATGCATACAAAATAATATAAATGACAAGTTTTACACCCTACACATTTGTATTTGTATTCCTTTCGAACTGAACCTAAATGGTTATCCAGAGTTTCTAAAGAGGCAACTTCTCTGTCTATTTCGCCACTATAATTAGGATGATCATTTTTTTATTCTTTTTGGACCCAGGTGGAGAATTGGAGATGGATAAACCGGATTATTGATTTCAATTTTGGACCACACTCTGCCAAGAGAGTCTTATTAGATTGGATTCTATTTGGACCTGGTCTGAGTCAAGGTTCAAAGTGTCGATACATATCGGCCGATACGCCCCTCCAGGGATTGTATCGGGTCAGACCATGATTCAGAGAGTAGCCGGGGCTTAAACCGACCCTCTGAACTAGTTTTGAAAAAATAAATAAAACATAAAAAAAAAAGAACCGGTACAGACCAATACGCCGGGCTATATCAATACTTTGAACCTTGATCTAAGCACCCACATCACATCTATGCGTTGCCTTCTTAGAAATCTCGTCAATTTACTAACAATAGGTGTAATGTCTTCTTAGAAATTCAGAAGAGATGGCCAGAAAACCAAAGTTCATGAGAATTTTCATTAGTTGGATTTTATTTTAAAATTTGATGAATAATGAAGGGTAAATTTGACTTTTCATTTTTCATTAATATGTAAAAGTATTTTAACTAATTATTCAAACAATAGGATAAGTTTTTCTTGTCCATTTGCTAAACCATATAATACTTTTAAGTATTTAACCCAAAATAAATAAAAAAAAGGGAAAAAGACAGGGCATCAAACAAGCGACTTTATCAAGCAAACAGGTAACGACCAAACTAACTACAACCTATGGGCACAAGCATATCTGCTATCCCCAAAACCAAAACAAAATCCAAAGATAGAAACTCAACCAACCAAAGTGGAGGCTGCAACTAAACTGAGTCCCAGGCTCTTTAGATGAGCAACACCCTTAGCTGCAAGTTCATGAGTAACCTTGTTGTTGTCTCTGTAGATGAAACTAACCTTAAAATTTAAATCAGACATCTTGAAAAGCCAAACAATAGTAGCAACATCATAAGATTTGTTTTAGAGAGCTTTAACAGCAGTTTGGGAATCATTTTCTAAAATCAAGTTTGAAAACCCAACTTCCATAGCTAGGAAACAAGCTTCTCTTATATCAAAAATTTTAGAATATTCTATAGATTGAGCATGGCAAGGACCATTCTTGGAGAGCAAAAATCTTTCATTAGAACCTCTAAACACTACTGCAAAACCTCCCATACCTGGCTTCAAAGAACTACCATCCACATTTGCTTTGACAATGCACCACACCGAAGAACATCCCTCCCAACTAAAAGACTTCAGAAACCCTGTAAGCGTTTCTTTGGGGTTTGAATAGACCAAAAACTCACCCTTCAGATATTTCCCCTCAAGATCCTACCTCATAAGCTGTTCCTATTTGTACAGAATCTCAAGGCAGGTTCTGCTAGGAGGGCTTTGTTGAAAGCTTAGGAGTCTCTAAATCCTAGCCCTCTATTGATTTCTTCTTATTTTGATCATCCTCACCCCAAAGGAAACTCCTCTAAATTCTAACTAACTGATTATAAGGGCAATAAAAAACATGACATTGTATGCATAGGAATGGCTGGTAAAATTACCTTTACCATCACCTCTCTACCAGGCTACCAGCTACTAAAAAGAGATGAGTGATACTAGGGCAATTATTATTCATTTTGATACCAGAAATCCCACCATCGACTTGAAGCTTTCGAAAAACAACAAAAAGCACCTTAGAGCACAAGAGAAATAGATAGAGTGACAAAAGATCACCTTGCCTAAGATTTCTTAAGGGATAGAATTTTTTACTAGGGCTTCCATGAACCAATATTTGATAAGAGACTGTAGTCAAACTCTGCATAATCCAACTCATAATTGTGTCCCCAAAACACTTCTTAAAAAACCCCACTCAACTCTATCATGAGCTTTATTCACATCTAACTTGACCAACACAAGCCCCTTCTTCTCTTGGGTATTTTTCATGAAAAAATAGAACATTATCAAAAAATCATTTGACTTGATAAAGAAAGCACTCTGATTGGTGCTAATTATGCTCTCAAGGAGAGGCCAACCGCCCTTTGTAACCTAACGTTGTCATCATCCTAAACTACTTTATCAATCATCTAAAGTACACCTCCAACATCTTGAGGATTTGAAGTCTTATAATTTTGAAGCGGTTAACCAATAACTCAGATATCTGCTTTTGTCCATTCACCCACCTATTATTTTAATCTTTTTGAGAGAATTCTATTCCTTGCCCTTCTTTTCATGGTTGCCACACGGAAGAACCTAGCATTGTTTTTATCCCCTAATTTTAGCTAATTCTATCTCGACTTTTGAGCCCAAAGAATTTCCTCTCTTTTATACTCATCTATTTTTTTTTTCTCCAATTCATGAATTTTACTTTGACTATAGGAACTGCCATTCTTTGATTTTTCCACATTTAACTCTAATTGAGTAGATTTAGTTCAACCTTGCACTTTGCCAAACTTGTGCATTCCATTTCAGTAACTTATACCTCACCTCTTTGCACTTCCTTATTACCTCATGTTGATTGATTCCGGTCTTTTCTTCACTCCACATTAAGGGTGTGTGGTTGGATCATAGCTGAGGGAGTGAGATTGCCTTTGATAGAAAAGAGGTAATAGGCCAAAAGGCTTATAGATAGAAGTGTTAATGTTAGAGGAAAGTAAGTTTTTAAAGTGTATGTGGAGGTGAAGTATTCACATATGATTATTAATACGTTATGGTGTATGTTGAGAAAGTACACCTATAAATCTATAATGGCTTAGATTGGTTGATGACTTTAATGATGATTAATGCAATCTCAATTGTTTTAATTACCACTTATTTATTAATATATTAAAATACAAAATTCTCCCTTTGAAATCTATAGATGAGGGGCAATATATGTTGAATAAAAATTCTAGAAAAAGAAACTCCATTGGCACTTTTATAAGTAGTATAGATATAGATTGGCATACCAACTGAGGGGTAACCCAGTTGCTGCGCTGGATGAATTGTCCCAGCGGTGGTGTGGTTTCAAATCTTGCTATTATCATCTCCCTAAGAAAAAAAATTGTGTGATTACTTGAACTTGTTGATGTGATATTGTTGTAGTGTTCACTTAAAAGAGAAACACGACCCCTATGGGGTGTTAATATCGGAATATGGTTAGAACCAATCTAGGATAAATGCCTAACTTGGGCTTCTTGGTGGAGACCATGTCAACTTCTATTGGCCAAAACCAAAACCATATCAGTTCTCTCAGACACATCCCTATTGTTTAACCGGATAAACTTCGGACCTTAGATGACGGTGATACAGTCATGGCCACACTGGACAATACGATTGAGGCCCAGAACCAAGTGGAGAAACTTTGGATGTCAAAAGTCCAGGACAGGAAAGCAGCGGTTCAGACTGTTCAGACTCTTTAGAGGTATTGCAAGTTAATTTGTTAAGTCATGGAGGTTCCTTTTCTTCCTCTTTTTCAAACTCAAATGTACTTTCGGTTTGTGCTTCTATGAAAAAATAATCTGGACTCTGGACAATGAAAAATATTCTCAAAAACCATGTGACAAAATTAAAAAAAAAAATTGGTAGCAAAGTTGATGATGAATAATAATATGTTTAAAAGATTAAAAAAAATTCCAGAGCTAGATGTTGGAAAATTTTTTCTGAATTAATTAGTTACAGTAGAGAAACTGAAGCCTGATCTGAGACTGAATTTCTTAGGTTTTCTTTGTTTTACCATTAGAATTGATGTTTCTTTAAGCTGCAATAAGTGGGTTGTGGGGCATGTAACCAGTATCCACAGCAGCCATTTTAGTATAGTTGAATTGTTGAGATCATCATAAGATTGAGAATAGGTACTGTCAGTAAGTCCCCATTCCATACCCATAGGCCATAGCCATATGATTAACCAATTGGTGGGCTGAAGAGATAGGCCTCCATCCAAGATTCGGCCCAATACAGGCCCATTTATTATTTATTAGTTGTTGTTAGTAGGCAAAACAAAGATCGTAGCTTGGGCGTTTGGGTGATGGAAGGCGGTGGTGGTGGCAACGGGAAGGTCAGCACAGAGGAGGTGATCGCGAAGCTCAAGGATGATGGAGATTTTGACAAGCTCCGCCTCAAGATCATCCGTAAGCTCAAGGAAAAGGTGTGCCTTTCTTTTTATTTTATTTTATTATCATTATCTTTGTTCTCTAAGAATTTCTTCCTGTGATTCGACAACGGCGTCCTATCTGTTTCCCGTATCAAATTTCCCAATTTAATCCTTCATTATATACCGACCACGTTATAGCAAAAAAAAAAAAAAAAAAGACCTTTATCAATCACGAAAATCGAGATTTGTCAATCACGAAAATCGAGATTTGAGAAGTTCAGAACTATGCATAGGAAACGCCAAGTCTCATAAGAGATCAGGAGCCTCCCTTTTATATTGTTAGATATCCCTTTATCAGGGAGTAGCTCTCCTTTCTCAAGTTATGCTTTGGCTAATGAGAGAGAGAAAGAGAAGGCAACGGAAACAACCAGAGATTAACCACTGAAAGTAAGAAACTATAGATTTAGAGATCGAGAGTGGTAGGGTGCATAACCTCCCTCTGGTAAAAGGTATACTTTATTTAACTATTTTTAAAATTATAATAGGTCCCTACGCCACCTACAAACATTTCTTACTTTTGAAAATTTTAACGAAGTTTCTGTAAGATTGGAAATGATATTAGATGCTTATGCTTAGAGCATCCTTGCTTAGTTTGGCACAAGAGGGTATGCAAGAGAATACTTACATTATTAATATAGGGTTATTGCATGAATATGTGAAAAAAAAATAAAAGAATGTAACAAATGAAGTTGATCTAATATATTGTGTCCTTTGCTTCAAGGGTAGGGAGAGCATTAAATTGAACTTTTATTGATTATGGTAAAAGAATGTTATGTACAACGAAGAGTTCCCATTTTGTTAGGCCGGCTTTGTCTACCAAACCTCATCTTTCATGTTTGCTCATATTTCTTTACATATTCATTGGTAACTCCCCAAAACACTTTGTCTTCCTTTCCGGGATGTCTTGGTCACTTCATTCAAACATTAGCCAGCTATTTTCTCTCCAAGAGAGACATTCCTTAATTGACCTCACTATGGTGAGAGCCATTCATTGGACTTTTTCATGTGAAGAGTTCAGAAGAGTCGCTATGAATGATCTTTTGAGGAGGCTGACAGGTGGTGGCAGGATTTTCTTCAGGGAAACAACAAAATGTGGTTGAATGGAGGACTTCATAGGGAAGGTAAATTATAGATGAACTTTGATGGCTGTAGCCTTGGCAAATGAGAGATGTCAATCACAATATCCTTCTCAGATTCTCAGGGCCATTGGGCTTTGGTAACTTTTTGCAAGCAGAAATTCTAGCTTTAATTAAAGGTTTACAGCTTGCTCCAAGTGCTTGATGGAGACTTAGGGGGCGTTTGGCAAGTTTTTTGCGAAAATCTTCTGGTAGCTCTGACAGTCAAAAGACACATTGAGCTTTTGCATGAAGATCTGAGCAGCCCGAAGCTAATTTGGCTACCTCACGTTTTTCCATGCGAGAATAAAGTGAGAAAGACGCGAAAAGCTCCATTTGGAGCTTTCCGAAATCAGCCCAAAATGAGCTTCTCACGTCTTTTTGGCACACCGACTTTTGGCAGCTAGATCTATTACGAACCAATGGAAAAAGACCATGGTGCAGTCTGCCCAGCTTGTAAACCGCCGAAAGACCGCGCGGAAAGACACACCAAACGGGACCTTAATTATTGAAGGGGAGTAGGGGACTGTCAAACGGTCATTAATTGGCATTGGCTACATTCTGGAATGGAGGTGCAATTGATATTCAGGTTCTTGGTCTGAATGCCTCATTCAGGTGCATACCTAGAAGAGATAATAGTCTAGTCAACATCTTGCCAGAACAGGTATTAACAGGGTTTGAGGAATGCCTAGGGTAACTGAAATTCAACTTCTGTTTATCTTTATTAGGCATTCTGGAGATGCTTTGCTTGAATCCCCATTTTCTAATTTGGACACTTATTTGTGGATAACTAATTATGTAAGTGAATAAATTGATAACACAGTAGAATAGTTCAAAGTTCAAACTAACATGCTTCATACTTAGGCCTGGTAGGGGAGGGAGACTTTCAGATCAGAGGTTTTGGCAATGGTGGAAGGAGTGCAAGGGGCAAGGACTTGAACATTAGGAAGTTGGTAGTTGAAGGGGACTCACAATTGGTGTTGTAAATTGGCTTCAAAGTGAGGAAATGAAGATGTGGATCTACAATAATGTGAAGAAAAAATTCAGGTGGTTAACAAGGGGCATGGAAGTATCATTCAGATTGTGCAAGCGTAATGCTAATTCTTTTTCAGATACATTAGCCAAGCAAGGGGTGGGACAGCAAGTTCTTTTCTGGGCACAAGTGTAAGAGAGGGGTGCTGTTAGGAGAGAGATAAGAGTTTTTCTCTCACTGTCTTTACTTTGCATTTTTACTCTTTGTACCATACCATATTCTTAATAGTAATGAAAGTTTACACTTTACAGTTCTTGATAGAAAAAAAAAGTTCAAAATAACATAGACAAAACACAAGAAACATAACCAAAGTATCATACAGATCCTGTGAGACATAGACACATATATGTGCATGCATGCATGCATACCATCTAGTTAGAGTTAATTTTTCATTACTGAACAAGGAATTCTGCTGCAGGAAGACTTGCGTAACTGTATTATCTCAATGGTGAAGCAGTCAGCTGCACTTAATCATGCAAGAGCAGAGAATTTGAAACCTAGACAACTCTGTGATGCCGTTCATGAAGAAATTAGGTAAGCTGTGGATGTTCTAGAGTCTGTTGTTTAAATTGTTTACTCTCTTTTCTTATGGCTCATATCATATGTTTTGATGTTTTCCATTTTCTGAGTAGTTTGGGGGAAAGATTCTGGTAAAATTCTCTGTGCAATAGATGAAACAATCACCTCTTGTTTAATTGGTTTTGCACCATTGGCAGTGGATTGTTATATAACTAAACAACCAGACTTGGCATCCCCAGGGACCAGGTAATGGGCCAGATTTCTGATGGGCTGTGGGAAGTGATCAAATCTAATGATGGCATGAAAAGTGAAATCACCGATACAGTACAATCTGTGTATAATAAGCTAGTGAACCTAAAAGGCAAGGAACTAGTTGAACTATCCTCCCCAAGCTCAACTTACAAGAAAGTTGCTGATAATGGTACTCTTGCAATCCCTACCTGCAAAAAGGATGATACATCTGGTAGCGAACCAAAAGAACCACCAGGTTTCTTTCTCTGCAATCATTGTCAAGGACATGAAGAAGAACAAACTGAAGTGCCTAATCATCCAGAGGACGCATCAAATCTGAAAGATGGTGAGCCAAGTGTCCCACCTGGCTTTGCTGCATTTGTTGATCGTAAGCAGCTATGTGATGGCAATGATGAAGATCCTGATGTGCCTCCTGGTTTTGGTTGATGAGCTACTGTGCATTCTCCTTTGTTGGCATCGTTCCATTACCATCAAATTTGGAGAACAATTCAAACATGGGTTCAAGCCGCAACACTACATGGTGCCAAGGCCTGTACTCCCACATGACTTCAGAGCACGGCCAAAACTTAAAGGGGGGGGAGGGGGGGAGGGGGGGCATGTGTAGTTTTATCCTTTTGAGATTAAGTCTCAGTTTGGATAGAGTATAGGTAGAGTGCAAAACCTTATATTTTGTATGTATTTGCCTCTACATATTTGTATTTGTACTCTTTCTAAACTGAGCTAGGGTGACAACCGCTGGGATCATGGCACTAGAATTTCTCCATCTCATTCTTCTTTGGAGTTATTTGATAGAAGCTGCTCCATGGTTTTATAAGCCTCTCTCTGTTGAAGTTTTACTGTGCTTCGTTTTTAGTGATCAAGTATGTTGATTTTATATCTAGTGGTATGGTTTTATATTTCGTCTGTATTCATGTGTATTATGTAATTCAAATAAAGTTAACTACTTTTGATGTGTTCATATTTCATAATTCAGAACATGGAGATGTACTTCTAGTTAGATATACGTTAAGCAAAAAAAAAGAGCATCAATGGATGTATATTGTGTTTGAAATATTTTGTTAACGGGAAGACAAGTTCAATTTTTTATATTAAAAAACCGTCTATCATGAAATATTGTGTAATGGTTTACACAGTGCTTGGTACCTCTACCATTGACGTTTCAGGCTCAGCTGATGGTGTTCAAACGGCAACGACACACCTGGTCCTGACATTCAGGCATGATATTATCAAGTCTGCTGTTGTGTGTCCATTTCAAGTTTAGTAGACTCTATCAAATATAGGTTGTGTTTGGTACCATTGCAATATTCTAAGTTGATCAGTACAAATTTTTTAAGAAATTTGAACGTGTTATGCCCTGTTTTTTGGGAAATTTTCACTTTAATACCCTGAATTTTGGGGGCAGTGTCAAGTTAGTACCCAAACTTTTAAACCTGTCACTTCAATACTTAAACTTTCAAAAAGTGTCAAATTAGTCATTACCATTAATCAACAGTCAGTTATTTATTGAAAATGTCAAAACTACTCTTCAAAAAAAGACATTGCTCATTGTTTTCTACCTCAAGACTGAACCAGTTGAGGTGTTTGAAATTCTAGTCTAATAAAGTCATTGTCTTCTACCTTTAGATCTAAAACACATTCTTGTCTAGTTATTTCTTTTGCTTTCATTTATTGTTTCATATTTCATGTTTTTCTCTCTTTTTCTTTGAAGATAATCAGTTCAGTCTCAAGGTAGAAGACAATGAGCAGTGTCTTCTTTTGAAGGACGGTACGTTCAACAGCCTCTGCTGGGCTCTCCTGCCTGACACATTAATCTATAATAAACTTCAAGTAACAGCATCAGTGAATCAGCGAGATAAAGGCGTCATGTATACTACCTCGCTATCAGAGTGGTGACCCAATGAGCCCAGTTCTTATCGGGTATCTCGTGCGTGTTCATCGCTCATCAGTCGTCAGCTCAAAAATAGAAAAAGGTTGAAGGAAAGGAGTTCAACAACTCTTGTTTCCCTTTGTTCAATGAAATTCCCAGTTTAGTCACCAAAATAAAAATCTGGAGCAGGTGAGAATGAGTCAATGAAGTGAGTAAGAAAAGTCATGCTCATAGAATTAGAGCATGTTGACATACTAGATAGATGAGACATACACACCATAAAGCTAACGGGATGAATTGGATCCGTAATCCTACACAACTTTCTAAAAAGATGAGAAGATGTTCATATGGAATTTGAACCTCCTTAGGCTTTAGCTCGGAATGGGAATACATTTGAGATCAATACATCATCACGAACAAATTTAGTATCTTCACAGGCTCCTCCATATCCATAAAAGAGCCCCAACGATGATGCCATGCTAATAATTGATGGTTGGCTACACAACAATTGTGCTCATCAGATCAGTGCGTTCTATACCGATGTTTGTTAAACGAAGCATATACAGAAAAGGCCCTCTCAAGAGCAACGGAAGGCTTTCCATGGATTTTCCATCTCCTATCAAAATCCAGTTAGGAGCCGAAGAGCAACTTTGGATGTGCATATTGAGAAGAAACCACCTTAGATAATTAACAAACAAATTCGTGAAAGTGATTTCCACACTAAACATGGATATAAGAGAAACAAGAAAAAAAAATCAGGAATTTGTCGTTTAACGACTTTTTTTCGCTACTGTATAGCGTAACAACTTAGAAGCATACAATTCACAAGGTCTACAGCCATATGGAAAAGGCTTATGCTGTTTTTCCCCCACCATTTTCTTCTGTTGGTGTTACTGGAGTGTTGCTTCCACTCTTCTTGGAAGAGCCAGATTGCCCTGTTAAGCTCCTGCCCATGAACTTTCCTGCCTTGCTCAAGCCACTGCCAACGGCACCTAGACCGCTTCCCACAAACCCAACTCCAGCATTGATACCACTCCCAACAAGCCCAGCTCCCGCACCAAGTCCACTTCCCACCAGACCAACTCCTGTTTCGATACCAGTTCCCACTAGTCCAACCCCCGATCCAACCAATGAAGCTGCTCCATCTAGTGCATCCATTGTGCTTGAAATTAGCCCTGCTTCTTTCAGTTTTTTCCGCTCTTCTAGGATCCTCTTTTCTTCTTCCAGGGCTGCCAACTGTTCTTCCTTGTTGAACTGATGGTACAAGACCTGCATGCCCATCCAAATTCAAACCTTGGATAAGATGCACCTATATAAAAGCCAAAAAGTAAAAACAGCAAGTGTATTATGAACAATGACAAATCTAAATACGACGCAATATTTTTATGATAGCCAAAATGGAAAAAAAGGCATCCTTGTCTCTGTCAATTCCTCGTTGAAGTAACCTTAATGTCAGCTGCATTATCGCATGGGCTCAACTTTGCTACTATGTAAACATGATATTTGTCTGAATACCTCTTTCCATCAATGTTTCACATGATCCAGAAAGATAGCAACGACTGGATTTATTTTATTTTATTTTCTTTTATTTTCTTTTTTTATTTTTGGGGGGGTGGGGGGAGGGACACCAGGGTCTACCAGCATCTGATATTGGTGCCAGAGGTAACAATAGAAACCAATAAAAGTCACAGCATAATCTCAAAAACAGTTAAGCATGGTGGTAATAGGCATGCTTCTTTCTAGAATTCCATCATTTTAAGAAACTTTAGATTGATGTTTGGTGTCTATTGGGAGGCTGCCCCCATTTGAGCCAGTATGTATGTGTAGAGTTGGGTAGTTACAGAAACACCTAACCTTTCCATGATCCTGTTTTTTGCAATCCTTTAATAATTGAGGGAGGAATTCACGAAGAAGGGTTACTCCATCTTTAGTTCTAGAGGATGGTCTTTAGGCATATTAAAATATAGATTAATAAAATATGGAATGTTTCTAGATACATAGTTTTGATTTTTGAGACATTGTTGCAGTGTCAATGAGATTGTTGACTCATTGATGCACAATAATATAGTATAGAAGGAGAAATTGGTTTATGAGTAGCATAAGAAACACTGTTCCCTAGGTATATTGTATTTCTCTCTTTATGTAAAAAAATTATATGCACTACTCATCAGAAAAAAGAATAAAAAATATGGATAGAAAGTTAATCAAGTATTAAAAATTTTCATTCAGTTTTTACCCATATGCATCTAGATTCCTTTGGCAATTCCACTCCCAAACAACAACAATAACAACAACAACAATAATAATAAGAATAAGAATAAGAATAAGAATAAGAATAAGAATAAGAGTAAGAAGAAGAACTGTCCTTCACCTTTTTATCAGTTAAAATCAGAACTTTATTAGTGATCAAAAGAATAGTCATTTAAAATAGTAGTAGCCCTTAGGTAGGCTTACCCATCACCCATCCCTTCCCCTTTCACCTTAATTGCATATTTACAAGAGTGCCCAATATAAGTTTGATTAGGGGCATCCAAGGTTACCTAAAAATTGTAATTTTTCCTCTCTTGATTAATAAATTTTCTGTAGCGAACCAAAAAGGGAAAAAAAAAAGAGTGCCCAATATAAGTGGTCCCTGAACCAACCAATTTGCTTGCCTCTGAACCAATCTGAAAGTAGCATCTAATTCTGTTGCTAGGAATCTGAAAACCTTCATTTTTTTTTAGAAAAGTTAACAATTTTATTGAAGAAAGGAGAGGTACACAAGAGTGTGTACAAAAACAAAAGAGGGGCGAGACCCCTGAGAATTACACAGGAGGGCAGGAATCACAGTACAGAGTCTCTAGAATAACTCCTAATTTTGCTAGACCACCTGCCATTACATTTAGTTCCCTTGGGGTTCAGGTTAGATAAACATTAAAAGGAACCAGGAGGTCCCTTGCCTCTGATAGGAAGTGACTAAGTCTCCAAGGTCCAGTTTCCTGTTGTTCCAACCATCTTATAGTATTGGCTGAGTCACCCTCAATTGAGAAGCTTTGGATACCCAGTTTGCTGACTAGGCAAATCCCTGTTAGAGCTGCTAACACTTCTGCCTTTGTTGAGTCAGCTATCCCAATCGAACCACTATAAACCCAGCATGTGTGGCCATTCTCATCTCTTAGAATTCCTCCAATGCCGGCAGCTCCGGGGTTACCATAAGCACTTCCATCAAAACTGAGAGTCCAGATTCCTTCCCTTCTAACTAAAGGAGCTCTGGTAAAGAGTGGGGTAGGAGGGGAAGAAACCAGGAAGTTATATATGTTTCTGCTGAGATCATTGATACTAACTCCTGTAAACTCCTCTTAACTAGATGCCCACAAGTTGCAGTAGTGGTTGATGTGGCTGATCAGTTAACCTTTAGATTTGGACCTATTTTCAAACAGCCGATTGTTTCTTTCCTCCCAAATTCCCCAAAGAACAGTGTGCAGTATTATCAACCAATAGGTCTTACCTCTCTTGCTCAGACCTATTCCTTGCCACTGAGAAATCAGATCCTACAGATGCTTAGGAGCCACCCAACTGAAGCCGACTAACTGAAGAAAGAAGTTCCAGATGCAGCTAGCTACCTGGCAGTGTATGAAGAGGTGGTCTGTTGTCTCTCCTTCACATAAGCAAAGTGTACAGGCGTGAGGGGAGATATAAAGTCTTCCAAGATTTTTCTTCTGCAGTAACTCACAAGTGTTCACTAGCTGCAGATAAGCCTCCCAAACAAAGAAACTCACTCTTGAGGGTATAACCTTGCACCAGTCTTGTGAAGGAAATCACTGCCTCGAGTATCTGCAACCAGAGCTTCGAAGAAAGACTTGGACGAGAACTCACCTCCAGGGTGGGGTTTCCAGACTCGGGAATCTTGGGAATTTGGGGAGATGTAAGCTTCACTAAGAGAAAGAAGGAGTTCAGTTAGCTCACTGATCTCCGGATCCTTTAAGGGTCTTCTGAAGTTCAGGTTTAGGTTTCTTCCATTGCTGGATATGGGAAGGCACTGGGAGATGGTTGCACCCTAATGTATAGTAAGGTTGTAGAGCCTGGGATACAGATCTGCTAATGTTGAGTTGCTCCACCACAAATCCGTCCAGAATTTTATTCTATTACCGTTACCTACCTTGTATCTAATGAAAGAAAAAAGGAGGTTGTAAATAGCAGAAATAACTTTCCAGGGATTAGAGAGAGCTGATCGGTTTAATCGGAGATTGCAGTCCCAACCATTTGAATTTAACCCATACTTGCTGGTGATGATAGTTGCCCAGAGAGAATTTGATTCCGTGGGGAATCTCCACAGCCATTTTCCAAGAAGGGCAATGTTTTTCTCTTTTAAATGCCCAATTCCTAATCCTCCAGCCTCTTTTGGTTTACAGACCTGATTCCAATTAACTAGATGCCCTTTCTTGACACCTCCACCTTCCCAAAGGAAATCTCTTTGGATTTTCTCGATCTGTGATCTGATTCTTGCAGGGATCTGAAATACTGATAGGAAATAGACAGGCATGTTCGCAAGGGAGGCCTTAATAAGAGTGATTCTACCCCCTTTTGATAGGTAGCATCTTTTCCAAGTAGCTAACTTCTTTTCACACTTTTCCACCACAGGTTCCCAAAAGCTTGAATTTTTTGGGTTACCTCCTAGTGGCATGCCCAAATAAGAAAGGGGGAGGATTTTCCACTCGACAATTCAGAGTTTCCTTGAAACTTTCCATCAGGGACCCTTCAATTTGGTTTATTGCTGCTAGGCTGCTCTTGGAGTAATTTACCTTCAGCCTTGATACTAGTTCAAAACACTGGAGCACTCTTTTCACATTTGAAATGTTCTCCAAATTGGCTTCTAGGAATAAGATGACATCATCAGCAAAGAGGAGGTGGGAAACATTTATGGCATCTCTTTCGACCTCAAAACCTTTGATCAAATTGAGGTTTTTATCTTTCTCCATAAGCTGGCTGAAAACATCCATTACCATTGTAAAGAGGAACGGGGAGAGGGGGCATCCCTGCCGTAGACCCCTGCTGGCCTTAAAATAACCTTTAGGCTCTCCATTGATCATGATCAAGAACCAGGTAGAACTAATACAGCCTTTCATCCACTGCAGCCATTTTGAATCAAAACCCCTCAAGTTTAGAATCTGGAGTAGGCAATCCCAATCAACCTTATCATAAGCTTTTTCAAGGTCTAGTTTCACTAGAAGGCCCTTCCTTCCACTCTTCCTTCTCTCTTCTACGACTTCATTTGCAATTAGGATGCTATCTACAATCTGTCTTCCTTTCACAAAAGCAAGCTGGGTTTGAGAAGCCAACTCTTTTAGGACTTCTCTGAGTCGTTTTGCCAACACCTTTGCCATTATTTTGTACACACTCCCTACTAGACTTATTGGCCTGTAGTCTTTTACTTCCAATATACCAATTTTCTTTGGAATAAGGCATATGAAAGTGGAGTTAATTCCTTTATTAACCACCCCCATGGAGTGGAGTTCTTTAAAGACCTCCAAAAGGTCCTCTTTTACTACTCCCCAACAGATCTGGAAGAAGAAGATCGGGAACCCATCAGGCCCAAGTGCTCTATCTCCATCCATATCAAAGACTGCTTCTCTAATTTCTTGCTCTTCAAATTCCTTTTCAAGCCAAATTATCTTGTCTTCTGCTAGAGTCAGCCCTTCCCAATTTCTTAAGTTAAAGCACCTAGCCCTTTCCTTGGAGTAAAGAGATTTGAAGTGGTTTAGAAAAGTCTCAGTGATCTCCTCTACATCTTCCACTTCCCTCTGGTCCATCTTAATTTTTGAGATGAGATTCTTTCTGCCTACCCAATGCATAGCTGTGGAAGAATTTTGTGTTGTTGTCTCCTTCCTTTGACCATCTAACCCTTGACCTTTGCCTCCAAAAAATTTCTTCTTTTCGGATTACCTTTTCCCACGAACTCCTTAGGGCATCTCTCCTGCTTCTTCCTTCTCCATCCAGATCTCTTGATTGCTCTTTTTTGTCTAACTCTTCCAGCTCCATGAGGATGGCATTTTTTCTTCTGTGAATGATTTGAACTCTTCTCTCACCCAGTACTTCAGTTTTCTTTTCAAGAATTTCAGCTTTTGCAGCAATCTGTACCCTGCCCAGCCTTCGGCTTTACATTCCTTCCACCATGAAGCTACATTTTTCAGGAAATCTTTGTGATGAGTCCACATCTTCTCCAATCTGAATGGGTGTTTTCCTTTCAAAGCCGGATCTGTTCTCAAGACTAGAGGCCAGTGGTCTGAAGT